TAAAAGGAATATGGTGGAATAACTAACCTGGCAGGTCGCGTAAAATATTTGATGATTCGGATGGGCTGTGGTCCCTCTGTTCTGAAGGACACAATATTCATCGCACCAGTCCAATAATCTGGGTGAAGCGAATAAAGATGATTTTAGATCTGAGAAGAACATCAAGAAAATCACAAAGAGATGAATTTCTTTACACACTTTTTGAGTATACCAAGAACCGTATCAGCGGAAATAAACCTTGCCCGAGACAAATAGCTTCCAACATAAGAAACTGCAGACATTCTGTATTCAAAACATGAGTGGTAATTAGCATTTCTTCAACCTGTACGAGCTTATGCTATAAATGGGGATCACAACAGAATATACTACTGACTGTAGCCAGAGAAAATATGACGGGTGTATGTATGAATTGTCTGTGTAAACATTTCTGGCCACACTTGTGGCAACTTGGCAGAGAGACATGTCTATGGCAGATGGCTGAAAGATCAAAGAAAGCATGGCTCGATGCAACTGTTGTCACAATGCAAACACCAGCCACAAGATTATCATTGTCAAACATGACTAAAGCACAGTGTGGCAACAAAACAAAGAATCAATGAATCGTCACAACATATAAAGCAAGCTGTGATCATACAATGTATTCCTCACATGCTAAGACCTGGTGCATGTAGCTCCCGCTTGCGCAGGGTCCAGGGAAGGGTCCGACCACTTTGGGTCTATAGTACGCAGCCTTTCCCTACATTTCTGTAAGAGGCTGTTTCCAGGACTTGAACCCATGACCTCATGGTCACAAGGCAGCAGCTTTACCACTGCGCCAAGGCTCCCCTTCCTCCTCACATGCTAAGACATACCTCGAAATTGGATCCTCTTCCTTGTTCAAAAAAATGTCGGTAAGAAAAAAAGCAAATTCAAGACCGCAGATTTTAGGATCCAGTGAGCAGGCATAGAACATGATAAACTGCAAAGTTACAACAATAGGGTGAAATATAAGAAGGTGAAGTGAAAAGAAAAATGAGAAAACATGAAGGTGAATAAAACTCAATACAAGCTTGAAATCCCAGTGAATCTAGCTTACACATACGCCAAATAACAGAGAGTCCTGACCTGGCAAAATTTTGATCTGTGCACCCTCAGCACAGATGCTCGAAATATAGTCTTCAGAATGTCAAATTCCTGACCAGTTCAAACCACAAGGTGAGAAATGACAGATTAAAAATATATATGCCAATCAGCTTCAACAATTATGTTTCCTTGTTTACACTACTCCATGAAGTTCACAAAAAGGATGGCATTTTTTACATTGACACGGTCTTCAAGATTTTAACTTTGACAACTAATTTGTAATAGAGTGTATGCATAAAACCCAATATAACTATAACATTCTAGAGCTACTTTTCAAGACAAACATACCTATGGTTTTCAAGTAACCAATCTAAATATTGGCAGTCACAAAGCGAAAATACCAAGGTGAACATGGTCATGTCCCAAAGCGAAAATACCAAGGTGAACATGGTCATGTCCCAAAGCGAAAATACCAAGGTGAACATGGTCATGTCCCAAAGCGAAAATACCAAGGTGAGCGTGGTTCAAAGCTTTAAAAGTTTGACTGAAGAAATGTTCAAAACATCACTTACTTGTGAACTGGAGGGAGTAGGAGAATTAAGTTGGGGGTACTAAAGTATGATAACAGTTTTTTTCTTTCCAAAGAGCAGGATGTACTGCAGAGTACATACTCACCTTATCTAGATACCCACGCTCCGCACATGACTTAAGGTGCTCGCATACAACAACCATTAAACTGTCAAGCTTTTCGGCACATGCATTTCCTCCAAAAAGGACCTAGCCGACAAAATGAGTACTGAGTCAGCAACTTCGCTATTAATGCTACACGATTAGATAGGCATAAGTTTTAAGTACAATACATGAACCTTTGTTCCCGCTTGTCCAAGGCCATCCTCATCCTCATCCAAATCTTCAAGCTCCATTTCAAATATACCTTTGTTATGCTCCCCTTGAATAATATCTTCCCAGGTTATATTAACCTGCAAAGTTCACCAATCAACAAATGTCAAGAATTAGTTGCAGGATAGAGAAAACAGTGGCGACACGAAAAAAGAGCATACATCCAACTCCGTGAGTAGATCCACAACTTTTGCCAGCAATGTAGCCCCAATAAGGTCCCCCATTCTGTCAGTATCTAGCCCCAACATGCATTCGACAAACGAGACCATCTTCTGCAAAGACATAAAAACAATGCTCTATGAAATAATGAACAAAGTTGGTGGTTGACTTTTCCATGTATAAGTGACACAATTAGGAATCATATATTGTCAACACAAAGCTGATGCAAGGTAGCCCGATGCAAACTATCACTTGATATAGAAGAAGCTTATAAGACCGAAAAGACCTTCACATAAACATACAGAAGCTAAACGATAACAAGTCGGCGTTGGTATTGAAAATATCTGCAATTATCAAAGATGTAGGCGTGTAGGATCTGCAGATTTAACGCTAATTGGAAGTTGAACTGGAGCGACCAAGATACTTTTTCAGCATTTATGTATTGTTGGCCTAGGAGTTCACACAAATAAGGAAATGCAAGACATAAAATAAAACAGAATTGCTACGAAAACAGATAATACAATAGTGTCCAGACGTACAGCTTTGTTATCAAATAACTTCGGCATGCTCCGATCTATTATATCCCTTAATACCCTTGGTGCTAAGGGTACAGTATTGGAGATCGTTTTCAAGCTCTCGCACAGATGAAAAAAAATATCCTTCTTCCTTGAAACCGCCCATCTAGGCAGCTCATTGCGTTGAACAAGAGGCGGAGTAAAGTTGTTCACAAGCATCTGCAAACATTCTCTGAGATACTGATCTGCCACTGCAGCCTGGATGGACAAATAATCAATTAGTCAGACACCCATAAGCAGATTATGCAGAAAATAATGTAAGTGCAATTAGAAGAATACCAATCTGGTTATTAGGTCTAAGAAAGCATCCAATGTATCTCTTTGCAAGTACCAGATGCGGACGGTAAATATCTGAAATGCATGTTGTTAGTGAGATTCAAGTAACTCGACAAACCAAATGGAGATGCAAGAGTAGTACTCAATATGACATTACATTGTTCAAAAGCAAATGATGGTACGTGATGTCTATTTTGGATACTGCTTCTGACAATGCCTTCAAAGTCGTCTGGAAAAATAGGCAATATGTGCATTTTATTAGAAGCAATGTTAAATACAAAAATAGTAGATAGATGAAAACAGGATCAATGTCTTACCACATACAAAGCCTCTTCATCAGGAGTCTTTTTCTTGCTAGTGTCTAGAGTGCTTACCATCTTATTATATTGATCCATGTCATATGGGTCAACCAGAAGCGGATCCTAAATAAAAGACAAAGGGTGTCAATGGTTCAAAAGGCATTCCTGAAATGTATATCGTTGATTGATGCCACCCAAGAAAAACCATGCCCGCCATGGACTCCTCTTGGTATGGGATCAAGCTGAAGAGTGAATTACTCGATAATCTTAGTCAAAACAGGAACGGATTTTCACACAACATAAATTGCCCAGGACAACAGTACTTTAGGTTGTATCTCTAGCGAGTATGGTATGACAGTCACTCTTGGTAGAATGCATATATACAGCAATAAGATCGGCTTGAAGAGATACTCGTTAAGCAGTCAAAACAGGAAATAACTTCAAATGAGGTCCATAAACAACATGAGTATTATTCTATCTAGCGAGCCGGTTATGGACTTATGGCAGTCCTCCATAAAATGCATATCTACAGCAATAAGAAGTATTCTCTAAAAACCTAGAAAAGGTAATGCCTGATGCCGAAGGAATCTATTTGTTCGCCCGCAGAAACATGGAACATCGGGAAGCTCCAAGTGATTTTCAGGTATGAATAGAAGAAATAACATGCACCTTGCTGCCTAACCCACGATGGCATTCAAAAATTGCATTCATAGGAAAATAATCACCTTCCAATTTCCCTAACTCTCACACTGCACATCCATCTGGCAGTCTCCCTCACCGTCAATAACAGCCTTGAATTTCGAACTTGAACCCATTACAAGATGTGTCAATATTATTCTAAAGAGATGCATTATGTATAAATGGTGATAAACGAATGCATTTGCTATATTCATTTCAATATTACACAACAGATACCCTGAATGTTTAAGGGGTGGATGGAAGCACCTGGCTCCCCAAATTGACTTCAATAAACGCAACAGAAGTGAGCACGGTATATCAAGGGGTCCAGAACTCCATAAGGCCCCAGAACCCCAGGTCTTCTCCCCATAGGAAGGATGCCTTTATGATCACTATATGCCCTGCCTTTGCCCGAGCAGTCCCATGGAAGAAGATGCGAGCTGTATATCAAATTACAATGTTTACTTGTTTCTGACTTCCACAGAGTAACAACAGCAATTTGAACTAAATTTTAAAAGGCCAGTCACCATCAAATTGAACATTAAGCATTCCAACGAATTAAACATTACTCATATTCAAAGTGTTCTCACATTTGGTTATTATGTTAAAGTTAATATTACTTAGCTAAGTATCACCTCTTCGAATTTTTTAAATCATGTCTCATATCTGTTTCAAGGCATTCTTTAATGTTAGTGGCTAACTCTCATGTAGATGAGAATTAATTAAGTCACATCTAACTCTTAGTCTCTTATGCCATTTGATTTTACGCGAAGTTTTGTGCGGATTTTTTTCTTTTCTTTTTTTATTTGATTAATCAGATAGTGTAAGGGTTAGATGATACTTTGTTATTTCTCATCTAGATGAGAATTAGCAAATCCGTTCATTAATATAGTACCATGGCTGATGTGCTGAACCATTTGTTGCCTGAGAGGTTTTCCAGTAGTATTGCCGATTTAACAGGCTTTTCAATGTGCATACTCTTGATTTATTTATGAGGTGCCGTGGTAAGCTATTCCGGCTCCGTGATTGCAACCGACACTGAAATGGGGGATATGCATTAGGAATTTGGAGTCCAAAGCAACAGCTCCAAAAGCTGCACCAATTTTATCAGCAGCCATCCGCAGCTCCAACTCGAATCTCTAAAATTACAAAGAAAAAAAATACAAATGGAAGCTCAAGAGTCTATTTTTACCAGCGAATGCAATCCCGGCTGTAAAACGCTAACGTTCGAGCCGACGAGCCAGCAACGAAAGGAGCGTTTCCCCTACTCCTCGGGCTCCCCGGAAATAGCCCGTGGTCGCATCACTCAGACTAAAAATGCAGACAGGCGAGCAAAAGGCGGGCTGGAGCAAAAAAGTACGTACCATCCGCAAGGACTGGAGCACGTGCTCGACGAGCCGGAACGCCACGGAGTCGCGGATGGGCTTCTCCGCCTCCACCGCCATGTCGTCGCGCCACAGCTCCGCCCCCATGGCCTTCGCCCCTGGCGCCTCCCTGGGAAAGATATCACGCCTGGGATCCCTAGTGGAAGATAGAAACTCCAGGGCCCAGTAAGCGCGGAGGCGAGCGAGCGGCGCGTCAAGCTCGGGGCGCGAAAGGGACGCGGAGTCCTCACCGGTTCGCCGACAGGGGGGAAGGGCGGCGGCGGCGAGGCGATAGAGGTCGAACTACTACCCAGGTCCTGATTTCCTACTGGGCCGGCTCGCGGATAATAATTTTCAGCCCACGGCCATATAATTCGAGCCCGGTATAAAAAGCCCGGTCGGGTCAAACAGGGTTCAGGTACCCACACAACTTGTCTCTAAAAAAAGGTACCCACACAACTTTCTATGGAAAGGTTTTTTTTTGCGGGTGAATATGATACTTTATTACTCAATCAAAGGGCATTCCACCTTAGACCTCGTTTGGTTTGGAAGAAATCAAAACGTAGGAATTAAGAGTATTATAGGAATTTAATAGGATGACACTTGCCATCCTAAGGAATTGTCTTGTTTCGTTCCCACGCATAAAATGAGCTTTGAGTGGATGTGTAGAATCCTTCAAAAACACAGGAAATGAATAGTATTCCTATGAAATTCCCGTACGCTTTTCCTACAAACCAAATGCATCTATAGGAATTTTTCCTCTGGAATCCTTGTTCCTACATTTTTCCTATAGAAATCCTCCAAACCGAATGAGTCCTTACAGAGTTCAGGGACAGCTCCCGGGCCTGACCAAATCCAGTGCGATTCTCACATCTACCATAATTTGCTAGGAAATGGCTAACTGCATTTTGTTCACGCCTCACATGCATGACCTTAATTTCTCTTCCTTCCTTAGGCTGCGTTCGGTTGGCATGGTTTTGAAGGGGTTTGGCGGGGATTAAATCCCATACAAGTCAAATCCCCCCTCCCAAATCCACTCCAATCCCCCTGAGACAGAGTGTAACCGAACAAAGCTTAAGGATGTTCAAAATTGTGTCAACCATCATAGCATACCTAGACCTCCGAGCCTGCCCTTGAATGATCAGATTCTTGGCCTCGAGACAACCCGTCTCCAAGATGATTGTTAGGGATGTCCAATGCATTGCAAAAGCTAGCCCCTCACTGCAGGCAGCCAGCTCTACCTCCAGCGGATCCACACAAGAGTTTAGTGACATACAGGCTGAGTACAAGATACCACCATTTTCGTCACGCAACAGCATGCCACTTCCAGCCGTACGATCAACAGCATGGAACGACCCATCAACAGATAATTTGGTCCATCCTGTAGGCAGGGGAGACCATGCATGCTTTGCTTGTTGCACCGCGTGAGCATATGCCGGCGTAGCTTGTTTCCCATGAGGAAGAAGCACCAGTTTCCCTTTCACATGATCCGCATCAGCTTGTTGTTGCATGTTACTCAGTGTGTCAACATAGCTAAGCAGGAAGCGTCGAGAGGACTCGATGTCCGGTGGCTTCTTGTTGTGGACGATCTCATTCCGCACATGCCAACACCTCCATAGATTCATGAGGAGGCACATGCGATCATAGTCGGAGAGGTCGGCGAGAACCGGAAGTAGCCACTCCGATCCCTCGTCCTTCATCGAGCGAATATCTGGCAGGTTCCAGTGCTTTCCAAAGCTCAGTCAAACAGTTACTCGTCATTGCCTCCCAAAACTCAACCGCTCTGGGACACCTGCAAAAGGCGTGGTATGTATTCTCCCGCCGAGGCATACACAGGGGACAAACATCAGTTTGTTCAAGAGTTTGGTGATGCTTATTTTCCCAAGTTGGCAAAGAGTTTGTCGCAAGACGCCACACAAAAACGCGCATCTTTGGAGGAGCAGGGCACCTCCATAAATAAGCCCCGACGGCTCGCCGCTCGTCTGATGCCCTACTCGCTGCGACACAAGATGGCCGAAGACGCTCGTTTAGCCCCAAACGGTAAGCGCTCAAGGCGCCCGAGCGTTTAGGCGCCCAAGACAGACGTACAAATCTTTAGAATTTCCTCAATATCTGCATGAATGAACCACCTTCGGAGCAGGTCCATCCGCCAATTACCACGATCATCCAGTAACTGGTCCACACGACGTAAACGACAGCGACCTTGAGGAGAAATCGGCATGCTGGGTTCCCCTCTCTGTATCCATTGATCCCGCCAAATACGAATGGATGTAACATTACCCACACGCCAGATAATCCCCCTCTTCAATAATTCCATACCATGAACAATAGCTTGCCAAGTGACCGAAGCACTGCTAGAGAACACAGTATCAAGCATGTCACCATTTGGGAAATAGTGTGCCTTTAGGACACGCGCACATAAACTATTCGGGACTGTGAGGATATGCCATGTCGGTCGGAAAGTTAAAATGCCCCCTCGGGCCAAAGTGTTCATATGGGTCGCTTTGAGAGGGAGCATTCTAACTACAAATAACTTGATTAGAAGGGGGTGGTTTGGAGATAGTAAATGTTCTTTTTGTCGGAGGGAAGAAGATATTAATCATCTCTTCTCTCATTGTTCGATAGTAGATTGTTGTGGATGGTCATGAAATGCTCGTTTGGCATGCATGACATCCCTGATGACATCCAACACTAGTTTGGAATCTGGATCAGAAAGTTTAATAAAAGCGATAGAGACCTTATGTCAGTTGGGATTTTTGCTATTTTCAGGACATTATGGAAACTTAGAAACAAAGTTGTGTTTGATAATAGCAGGGTTACTGATCCCTGCATTCTAGTTAACATGATCATTAAACGGTTGCATGATTGGTATGTGTTGCAGAAAAACCAAAAAAAATAAAGGCGAATGACGGCGGGCGTAAGGCAGGTTGAACAGGTTGCGAAGGAGGTCTTCAGAGCGGCACACGGCTGGAGAGCAGGGGCGCCGAGGCTTCAAGGATGAAGCTGTTCCATGGCTCCTTCGTGTTGGGAGATGAAGATTCTTCTTTCTGCAACCTGGGTAGCGCGTTTATTCTGCTTTGTTGTCTTGGTCTGGATTTTGTAATGAACTGAGTACTTGTGGCGCTTTTGCATGTTGTTGTATGGAGCAACATTATCGTCTCCAGGTTAACATCCTGGCGCTTGTGCTATGGTGTGAGGTCTGTCGTATTGGGTTGCTAGGAGGAGAGAGAGGATGGCTCCTTCTCTCGCGGCAGCTCATGCCTCTTGTGTAGCTTCTTGTAGTTCTAGTTTGTTGTAACCAAAGACAATGTGGTTTCTTATAATGAAAACTGGAGAGGGAGCTCTTCTTTTCCAAAAAAAGAACCCACTCGTTCCTAGCCGAATAGCCCAGGTAAGCAGTCTACATTCTCTTCTCTCAAAGAAAAAGGGGGTAAGTACCTCTCAAAAAAGGGGGTAAACGGTCTACAATAAAACGGCAGATCCTATTAACAAACAATTTTCAAATTTGTTGACATGTTTGTAACTTGAAAATATTTTTAAAATTATGAACATTTTTTGAATCGATGCATATTTTCTGAAATTTTGAAGAAAAAAAAGTAATATTCCTAAACATTTTAAAATTTTGCCAGCATTTTTGAGAATGCACGAATACTTTTTCATATTCATGAACATTTTAAAATTTGCAAGAATATTTTATTTGTGCACATTTTTTGAAATTCAGAAACCCTTTTAAATATATGCAAACATTGCTAATTTAGGCAGTTCTATAATAATAAAAAACTGGCCAATAGCAGATCTGTAAAAGTGTGCCAAAATATCACAGTGGAGCCGACAAGTGACTGACTAAATCACGGGGGAGTGATGAATCAACGGGGAGGAGTGGACGAGGCAGGGGGGTGCAACACGAGCGGGCGGGTGGGCGTGTGAGTACTAGAGCATGCTAGTTTTAGCCAGGTGCAAACACTTGTGCGATGAAGACGTGGCAATGAATCTTGCGCCGTGATTCGTGTGTCTGATCCAACGGTACATAGCGCTTTTCACATGAAAAATGCCTTGAACTGCAGTTCATTAGCATTTGGGATATCTTTTAGCTAGGGGCCTCAAAAGCCACAATAAGTTTCGGAAGAGAGCAAAACTGATTGGTTTGCAACACGGACATGAGTCAAATCAAATACCATTTTATCAACGACAACTTAATTTAGCTGCATTTCAAAGCAGTTGGCCCACATGAGGTCATCAATAACTAAAAATAGAAGAATAATTCCACATAAACACAAGCAAAACAAGAAAAATCATCACCATCACTGGAGTCTAGACTCCAGAGTAGTTGTCACATGCAGGGATGTAGCCCGAATTTTGGGCTAGGCGGTCCAGTTGACATAAAAATGTTTACACCGTGAATACAGCATACAAATATAGTAGCAGAGGCCGAGATATTTAACTGAGGGGGCAATGCCCTCCCCCCACCCACCCCATATTTGAGGGTATGAATGGAAATGTTGAGTCCTACTGGCCACCATCGTCGTAGTCATGGTCCTCCTATGGGCCTTGTTTAAACCGTGTGGAGGGCGAGCCGCCAGGGCGACAATGGTGAAGCCGACACCTGCTACAAGGGATCCGTGTGGTTGGTAGCGATCGACCACCCGTAGGTAAGCGGTCTACATTCTCTCTCAAAAAAGGGTAAGCGATCTACAATAAAACAGCAGATCCTATTCACAAACATTTTCCAAATGTGTGGACTTATTTTTAACTTGGGAAGATTTTTAAAAAATCACAAAAAATTGAATCGATGAATATTTTCTGAAATTTTGAAAAAAATATTCCTGCACATTTTAAAATTTTGCCAACATTTTTGCGAATTCACTAATACTTTTTCAGATTCATGAACTTCTAAAATTCACAAGCATCTTTAATTTGTGCACATTTTTTTAATTCGGGTACACTTTTTTAATATACACAGACATTGTTAATTTAGACATTTTTGTAATAAAAAAACCTGGCCAAAAACCAACCAAAAAAAAAAACAAAGCGTGCGTGTTTTTAAAAATAAAAAAGGCATGGATAAGCTAGAAAAGGAATAATAAAGCTAGTTACTTTCTACTATGTCT